CTCTAATCATTTTTTGTTGTTGTTGTCTTCTTGAATTATCTATCATTGTGATTTACTGGTAAAAAAGCTCTTTATAAGATAAATTCTGTGTAGAAAAATGCATTTGAATGGGGATCATCTAAAATTCCACACTCTGAAGACGCGATCCAGGTGACACATCAAGCAGCAAGTTATTTAGTCAGGTGAGAATTGAGATCTCAAATCAAGGTTTATTATGTTCAAAAAACAGCTCTTAAGTATGTATGTATCTGCTGGTTGCTCATGGATTTGAGTATGAATGATGGTGTATGCAGTGAAGCTAGGAAGTCAAAAAACAGACCAGAATCTAAGAAAGTGTTGAGTAACCTCATATATAACTACAAGCCTACTTACTGCGGATGCGCAGGGTAATTAAAGCTACTCGGACCCGTCTTTACAAAATTCCTCTTCTTGTTCTTTCTGTTGTTGAATGACTTTTAACGATTCTTTGCTTGCAGGAGAGGTTACGATGAGGTTTACATTTTCATACAACCAAAATCCCGTTTCTAACAACATTGTCTAGTGTTTGTTCAACTGAACCAGTTATATGTGCAAGTTCTTTAAATCTAAAGTCTACGTAACTCTCGATAAACTGTAATGGGCTTTGTCTGTAACAGCAAAACTTCTTCATTTTGGAGCTATCATTGGATAGTAACACAAAAGAGTAATCACAGATTAGTAAGCTACACAAATTTTTTGTATCAGAACTATTCAATATTTACCAATCAGAGATACATCCCTTGTGTGATTCTAGCCAATCATACTGGGCCAGTGCAAGATAAAATGGGCCCAACACTGAGCATATGACACGTGGACGGTAGAGATTAGTTACGTGATCCACGAGTCACACGACAAAAAAAAAACAATCCAAAATTCACGATCGATAATCTCACTCTCAAGTCTCATTTCCGAAATTCTTCTCTCAGAGATCATCTTCATCTTCTTCCTCTGAGATGATGTTGCGTTACGTCGTTTGGCTACCGTTCGTACTGTCGATGTGTAAAGATATCATCGTAACGGCTAAAACCAACGAATCGCCTGAGTCGATTTTCCTTCCTAGTCAAACCGGAGTTGTTGACGATTCACGCGATTTTGGTCATCGGAGTTCTGTATGCTCTTCGCCGGATCCTAACCTGAACTACAAGCCGGTTATTGGGATTCTGAGCCATCCTGGCGATGGTGCGTCGGGTCGATTGAACAATGATACGAGCTCGACGTACATCGCTGCTTCGTATGTGAAGTTCGCCGAAGCTGGTGGAGCTCGTGTGATCCCTCTCATCTATAACGAGCCTGAAGAATTGCTGTTTCAGGTTACTCTAATTTAGCTCAGCTGATTCTGGGTTTTTTGAAGTTTCGCTCAACTTATCAGTGATGTATGAATGAGCAGATTGATTAGGTTTTTGATTTGAAAAATCCATAATGGTGAATTACGTTTTGGAATTGCAGAAACTAGAATTGGTCAATGGTGTGATATTCACTGGTGGTTGGGCTAAAAAAGGATTGTATTATGATATTGTCAATAAAATCTTCAATGTAAGTTGAACATTTTCTTTGATTTTGGTGACAATGATCTTACTGATATCTATATGATGATCCTCTTAGAAAGCTTTGAAAAGAAATGATGCTGGAGAGCACTTTCCGGTATATGCTATTTGCCTAGGATTTGAGCTCTTGACAATGATCATAAGTCAGGTGAATGCTTTGTTCTTGCTTTGATCAACTTATGTATCTGTTAAGCTATAAAGTTAAATCCTTGGAGATTTTGTTGAGTTTAACACCATCTGAATACTGATACTCTTTTTAATATAAAAACCGTCCTTCCTCCAGACCCGTGTAATAGGCAAGCAGGGAGCTTTATGCTATCCCTTTCATGAATTACGAGTGGAGAATATACTAAAGTTTGTTAGTACAGTTTGAGTTCTATAGGGCCATTTACAAACTCTGATCTTTGCGCATTTTGTAACAGAACAGAGACATTCTTGAAAATGTTGATGCGGAAAATTCTGCAGCAAGTCTCCAGTTCGTTGAAAATGCTCATATCAAAGGAACCGTGTTCCAAAGGTGCATACAGCTTTTCGTGATATATATACTTATATCCCCACCTTCTGCAAACTGTTGTATATATAACTGTAATGTTTAACATCATTGCAGATTTCCTCCAGAGTTGTTGAAAAAACTCAGTACAGACTGTTTGGTCATGCAGAACCATCAGGTCTGCACATAGTTGTCACCAATTTTGTTGCTTAACATGCTATAAATTATCCAATTTTGTTGACATTGGACATGTTTTGACTGTTGTTCGCTTCTTGTAGTTTTGTTTACCGCTTACAGTTAGGCAAAAACATTTTTTTGCCACTTCTAATTTTTGTTCTTGAATGGTGAGCTCTCATGATTTTCCAGTATGGTATCTCACCAGGCAGCTATGAGGACAATATTGCTCTGTCTAGTTTCTTTAATATCATCACAACATGCACTGATGACCACAACAAGGTATGGTTATGTGCCTAAGAACCTCAAAGATCTTAACATATCCAAAGCCCTGGCCTAACGAATCTATGTTATATATATTTTCAGGCTTATGTTTCAACAGTTCAATCAAAAAAATATCCAGTGACTGGCTTCCAGTGGCATCCTGAGGTATTTATAAACTCACTAGTTAACTTATCTCTCTCTCATTTAGTCTTTTTCGCGCTTTGGCTGAATTATTATTGTGGTCCATTTCGTTATCCCATAATGGTGTGTACAGCTTGTATAAAAGAAAAAGCTCCGTACAATACTGTGCAGAAAAATGCATTCGAGTGGGGATTATCCAGAATTCCACACTCTGAGGACGCGATCCAGGTGACTCAGCTCGCTGCAAATTATTTACTCAGGTTAGATCTTTATACAATGTTTGGTAAAGATTTGATAAGCGAGAGCATCAACTCTGATTGCGCCACATTAGGAAAGTAGTTTAAACATTAGAATCAGTATAAATAAGAATTTATTAGATCTAGTTGAGGTTTCTAACGAATAGCACAAGAACACTCAGTAAATAATGTGTAGCAGTTTCTCACGGTTCGAGTTCTGAATGTAATGCAGTGAAGCTAGGAAGTCACTGAACAGACCACCAGCTAAGAAAGTGCTGAGCAACCTCATATACAATTACAAGCCTACTTACTGCGGATACGAAGGGTAAAATCCACTCGGACCATCTTTACACTTAATGCAATTCTCGTCTTGTTGTATGCTTTAATGATTCTTTGGATCGTATCTATCGCAGGAGGGGTTACGACGAGGTTTACATTTTCACACAACAACGATCGCTTCTCTAGAAAACCGTCGATTCTTCGTGTGTTGTTCAGGTGAATCAGTGAAATATGTTTCACACAACAACGATACCTACTCTAAGAAACTCTTTGGCTTTGTTTTTGTGAATTGTATTTACTTCGGAAATTTGGTTGTATAGTATAACCATAAAAAAAAGTCAAAACTTACAAACTAACCAAAATGGGTATATGTGGCAAAATTTTAACCCTTAGATTTAGGGATTTTGGTTAGTTTATAAGTTTTAATTTTTTTTATGGTTATTCAACCAATTAACCCATTTACTTTTGTACTCTGTGGCTTGTATTTTTTTTTGGTCAACTATTTGACCACCATTGATGGGCTAAATAAAGACCCAGTGTGAAGTTATAAGCTTATACGATTGCAATTAAAATTTTAAACCTATGCATTTGTTGGGCTCAATAAAAGCCCAATTAAACTTGGTGACCTGATAATCCTTTCGCCAACCGACAATGGATATTTCGATTTTTCAGAAATCCCCGGTTCATCCCTAAAACCGGTGTTCCTATCTAACCGTACCGAATCAAACCGACCATGTTCTACTGTTCTTCCTCGTTCTGGCTCTGCGATGCCTTCTACTCTCGATGCTTCTTCGATTTCTCTCTTAGACGAATCGTATGGTCTCGTTTCTAATCGGTAAGTGTTCTTCCTTTTTGAAATGTTTCGATCTTAAACTAGCTATGGTAATTGTGATAAACCCTAATTGCTCCGTTCTGTCGTTAAAACTTTCCTAGATTAGTTGGGATTTAACTGTTTTAGAATCTTGCGCTTACGAAATGAAACCTAGTAATGGAATCGTACCTTTTCAACTTCTTTAATTTCAGTTTCTGTTGTGATTTGTTGAAGTGAGTGAAATTTGAAGCTTTGCAAATCCTGGGAAGAGAGGAATAAATGGGGAAGATAATGGAATGGGCAGCGAGATCTGATCACTTAAGAGGGACTCCAAGGAAAACTGTGATAACGGCAGTTGGTGCATTTGCAAAAGCAGTAGCTAATCTTTGCAACAAAACCACAGTTCATAATGCAGATACTCTTATGAATCTTGTCCGGTCACGACCACCTGGTGTTCCTCTCATCACTGTTAGTAATCACATGTCGACGTTAGTTAAAAGTTTTAAACCTTTTATGAATCTGATCTTTTCTTCTTGTTGTCATTCTCTTTCCCACTCACTTGTATTTTGGGTGGTGTTGATCTATTTCGTGTTTGTTGTGATCAGTTTGGATGATCCAGTAATGTGGGGAGGTTTCAAGGGACTTCTTTCGCTTGATCCAGAGTTGGCTCGATGGGTTCTTGCTGCAGAGGACATATGTTTCAGGAACCCTATCTTCTCCTACATCTTCCGCACTGGTATGTTACGCTTTTTGTCGAAATGATAACAACTTTTTAGTAGATTTGGTGGTTACCTTCTTAACAAAATTAGGATTTTCTCGAGATGAATATGTTATGGATTTCTTTTGATGCAGGCAAATGTATACCTATAACTAGAGGTGGTGGAATCTACCAAGAACACATGAATGAAGCACTCGAGCGATTAAAAGATGGATCTTGGGTAAGTTGTCTTGCACATTTGAACAAATACGGAGATATTTTTGGACATTTTCTGACCTCTAACCCTTGGATTTAACCGTGACTAGTAGCTGCATACTTTTCCAGAGGGCAAGGTGTTTCAAGAAGATGTTCCTATAAGACGACTTAAATGGGGAACTGCAAGCCTCATCACCCGTTGCCCAGTTACCCCAATCGTCTTGCCGATAATTCATCGTGGTTTTGATGAGGTAACATGTCTTAACTCTTCAAGGTTTATCTGTAGCTTATTGCCTGTGGGAACAAGAACAAGAATAAGCCATGAACATCCATTTTCCAAAACTTGGGAGTTTTTCTTTGATAATTTTATGTTAACATTCCAAGGCACTTACCTACATTGTTCTAACGACTTAGATGATGCCGGAGAACTACTTTTACGGAAGAAGGCCACCGGTACCCCTGTGGAACAAACACCTTCAAGTTGTGGTTGGTGAACCAATCGAGTTTGATGTTCCCATGATGGTTGAGAGCGCTATCTCGGCCTCCCGACATGTAACAGCTCCACTTCAAGAAGCGAAATGGCCTGTCCTCTCTTCTGCTGGCCAAGAGTTAGACGAAACAGCTCAGAGATGCCTCTACATAGCTCTTTCCGAGAAGATTCAATCCTCACTGGAAACATTGAGACTCTTAGCCAAGCGATTGTGATTTCGGCCCGGGAAACAATCAGATGAGAGAATCCGGTTCACAATTTTGCAAGTTCCGGTTTTAGATCCGCAATGGTAGTCAATTATTTGGACTCTATTTAATTATCCGAAGCTGAGAATATTCTACAAATTATAATAAGATTGAAATTGTAACAGCTTAAATTTAAATAACTCGCATCTTAACTTATCCTATCAATAAAAAGTACCAAGAATCGAATATAAAAATCTCAACAAAAGCTTGTGACC